TTTTTCTGGAGGTAGAAAATTACTGTAAACAGATCAATAAAAGCACTTAGCCAGGATACAGAAATAGCTGAGTTCTATGGGGAATTTATCAAGCAGGGGCTTGCTAAGTAACTGTGTGAGCAGTGGAAATGTTAACTTACTTAACTGCCTAAATTTCTGTTCCACTGAGAGCAAATGATCTATCTAACCTTTCTTAATAAAGTGAGTTTTATTTCTATATTGTTAGCTCCTCCCCTCCTAATTCATCCATCTCACCCCTAATGCCCAACATAGGGCCGTGCATAAAGAAGGAACTGAAGAATGTTTTCCCTTAGGCTACAATTAAGTAACTTGTGAACCAGGCAGGTTTGTTTGGCCATTATCATGTTTTTTGTAAACTGAATTTGAATGTCTTCAGGCACATCTTCTACAATTCACCACACATCCTATAGCTTCCTATTATTGAATATCGCTTTGCTATTTGTTTTCTCCTCCTGGGTAGTAAAGGCATTTAAATATTAAATATTTAAATATGCCATGTTAAATAAAAGGAAAAAATTATTGCAAAAGCATACTGCAAATTACAAAGAAAATAAACTCACAGTACTAAAAAGTCTCTTTAACCGGTCACCAATGTTTCTGTTTATACTTTTTATGAAAGTATCATTTCTTAAAAACATTCCATTCCTTGGGAACATATTCACAAGATTACACATAGTATAGAAAATAAATGTATTTAGAAAAAAGAATAGAAGAAAACTTACAAAATGTCAGGTTATTAATTTCTGGATTAGGGGATCATGAATTATTTTTCTTCCTTAATTTTTGTATTTTCAAGTGTTGGGACTCAAGAAAAACAATACCCAAAATAAAGTCCTCAGAAGCAAAAATCATTCCCTGACCTTCTCCTGCCTCTTGTCTCTCAGTCCCATTCTCTCCTGGGGTTAGGCAAGAAACTAAAATCCCTATTCCCCAAGGCACATTCCAGAAACCAGAATCCCTTTTCCCCAAAGCCAGCCATAAAACTAAAGAATATTACTCTAATTTTCCTTCTGCCTTTCTGTGTAAAAACTGGCTATAAAAAATTACCTGAACTCCTATAGGTCAGAAGACCCTCATTCCAGAGAGAGTCCTGCCCCAAACCCCGAAGGCAGGCAGCTTAGAGAGACCAAGAAGCTGCTAGATAACCAGGCCTTGCTCAGTTTCCCCACTTAGCTGTTACTGTTATATCACACTCTTTTTGTCCAATCATATTTCTACACAGATGTTCATACTTGGTTAAATCTACACATAAAAATGGACAATTTCCCTTGCATCTTTGGGTTTTCATTCTGGAGGCTCCTGTGTATACATGTTAAATAAATTTGTATGGCCTTTCTCTAATTAATCTGCCTTCTATGAGTTGGTTTTTCAGACAAGTTGAAGAAAATGCAAGTTTTCTGCAGTGAATATGAATTACACTTATAATCAGGAAAAATCATTATTTTGCAGAAAAACTTTCATGAATTCAAATTGACTGTCTTTCCTGTTCCCTAAATTTGAGATGATAAAAACTATTTATTACCAATGTAATAAATAGTGCCAATGTAGTCCCAGGGTACTAGATACTTTACATTCAACCATCAAAACCTATAGAACAATGACCTTAGTTTTGTTTTATAGAAAAATTTTGAATTTTTGAAGACTTTGGTCCCCACCCCCTGGACCATGGACTGGTCAAGTTCTGTGGCTTATTATTAGGAAGCTAGCTGCACAGTAGAAGGTGAACAGTAGGTGAGCTTCATCTGTATATACAGCAGCTCCCTACTGCTGGCATCACTGCCTGAGCTCTGCTTCCTGTCAGATCAGCAGTGGTATTAGATTCTCCCAGGAGCACCAACCCTACTGTAATCTGTTTATAGGAAGGATCTAGGTTGCATGCTCCTTAAGAGAACCTAAAGACTAACAATGTGAAGTGGAACTGAGACGGTGATGCAAGCACTAGGAAGAGGCTGCAAATACACGTGATAACCCAAAATAAGTGACTGATTATCATTAGCAGAGAGCTTTAAATGCACAGAGCCCACAATAAATCAATTGTTTGCAGACTCAGATCAAAAACCTACCAGTGAGTGGCAAGTGACAAGTAAGCTGTATCTGGTAGCAAACTTTACAGTGGCAAGTGAGCATCTTATTTTAATTGTACAGCTGCATCTAGTGGCAAACTTTAAGGCACAATCTGACACTTAAGTCCGCAAACAGCCAGCCTATTATTTTATTTACAATTTCTGTCTGTGCCTCTTTCCTGCACTGCATACTTGTCTCAGTCAGTTTCGTTAAGCCCATAAGCCAAAATGAATAAAAAACAAACATCACTGGAGAGCTTCTTTGACAAAGGGGAAAGGACACAATGATAAGATAGAAGAATACTCTAAGATTGCCAACAAAATGAGAGCTGCATTTAAAAAAAAATACCCAGAGTCCTACCTAAATCATGGGTTCATTACAACAGGTGATTCACATTCTTCAATCCTGCTTTGTATAAGATGAAAATACCTTGCTGGCTTCCCATAAACAAGGACAAATTATAACTTTGGGTCTACAGGCCAAATCTAGCTCCTAAAATTAAAGTTTGTTCAATTCTACACTAGTAATGAATTACAAGTTTATCTTCCCAAGTACAAAATAGAAACAAGATCGAAGTCTTGTTTCCCCCAACTAATGGGGAAGTCCTTCCTTTGCTCCCTTTTTCTCTTCTAATATCCACCTTATGTAAAATGTAGATTTCCCGGACCTCTGAAAAATGCAACCATTTTGCCTCACTGCCCACCCCCTGCTATTTTTTGTCTTTCTGTATGCCCTAGTCTCCAAATTCCCCTTCAGAAAAAAACACCCACAGATTTGCCTGTGGTTTGTGTTTTTCCTAGGCATGTCCTTAATTTTGGCTTAATAAACCTCCACTGACTGAATCAGTCACTTATTTTGGGTTGTCAAGTGTTTAACTTCTGCTTTATTTCCCACATTGCTGCCTGTCACCTTTCCTTAACACAATGAGAACATGACAGCTCAAAACCGTCCATGGCTTCCCAAGGGATGAATTCCAAATTCCTTGATCTCATGCTACTGTCTGGCCTTAACCTGTCTGTATCATCTTAGTTTAAACTCCTATTAACTGTCACAATGATTTTCAAACTCTTTTTGACTCAACTCTTAGGAAGAAGTACATTTTACCAGTACAACACAGCCATGTAAAACACTAAAACAGAAATTTCAAGAAATAATTCCAGTAGATATACTCACGATACTTTCTATTCTATGCTACTTTTTTTTTCTTTAAATGCTAGTTGTGACTTATTCATGAACTGCTAATGGGTCCTAGCTTGCAATTTGGAAATCATTGACTGCTCCCTCCTCTATTACCTTCTCCACTCAGTAAATTCTCTTCTTTCACCATTTGCCCCAGCAGCCCTGGATGCCAGGAATGTCCTACTTCTCTTCACTGTTCCTGCACATAGCAAGTTCTTTTTTTTTTTTTGTGAGACAGAGCCTCAAGCTATCCCCCTGGGTAGAGTGCCATGGCATTACAGCTCACAGCAACCTCCAACTCCTGGGCTCAAGTGAGTCTCTTGCCTCCGCCTCCCAAGCAGCTGGGACCACAGGCGCCCGCCACAACGCCCGGCTATTTTTTTTTTTGGTTGCAGCCGTCATTGTTGTTTGGCGGGTCCGGGCTGGGGATTCGAACCCACCACCTTAGGTGTACGTGGCTGGCGCCTTAGCCGGTTGAGCTATAGGCGCCGAGCCCACATAGCAAGTTCTTATTGACCTCTCAAAACAATAGCTCAAAAGTTTCTTCCTTAGAGAAAGCTTTCTAAACACTGCCCCATTCACCATGCTTCCATCCTCAGAGGTCCCAAAGCTTAACACACCCTGAGGGACAGTATTTGTCATGCAGGATGTATTGCGACTTAAAAAAATTTTCAATCTAAAGCCAGGCACAGTGGCTCAAGACCCTAATCCTAGAACTATGAGACTGAGGAGGATAGATTGCCTAAGCTTGGGAGTTCCAGTCCAGCCTGAGCAAGAGCAAGACCATGTCTCTAAAAACATAGCCGGGTGTTACGGCAGTTGCTTGTAGTCCCAGGTAGGCAGGAGGCTGAGACAAAAGGATCCCTTGAACCCAAGAGTTGGAGGTTGCTGTGAACTATAAAGCCAGGCACTCTACCCAGGATGACAGAGACTCTTGTTTTAAAAATAATAATAATTCAGTCTGCTCTGGACTAGGTTTCTGGATGGGGCCAAACTAACTGTTTTATCTCAGGTCCAAAGTAGGGTCTAATCTAAAACAAGGCTGTGAGATACTACACTTAATATATGAAAACTACCTCATCTAGTACTACCTTTCCTACACCATCAGCATCTTTAGCTGTGTACCAGACCAAATAGCCTTCTTTCTCTCTAACAAACCAATCTTTTCTCCCTCACAACCTATCTGTGCCACTCTTCCTCCAGCCACTTCCATGGCAAGATGCTCTTTCTTTGTCTTCAGATCAGTAGTCTACTTTTAGGGACGCTGCCTGCCCAATCTCCCATCACATTTCCGTTAATTGTCTTACATTTATCACTCTCTGAAATTATCTTGTTTGTTTGTTTCTTCACGTATTTGTCCTCTGTATTAGAACGTTACATCTTTGAGGAAACCGATCATCTGAACTGCCCCAGTAAATTTAATACCTAGAATAGTGCATAACTATTCCTCAAAAAACATCCGGCGACGAAGGTGCGGGAAAAGAGGCAGACAAAGCCACCGAGGTCGTAGAGACCCATCTTGGAGCCGCTTTGAGGTGTCTCTGGCAGAGCCAGGAGCCGTGGCCAACGCAGAGGACACAGCACAGACCCCTGACTGGGAAAGAGGGAGGGAGGCGCGCAGATGCCACGTTCCAGGGCCTACCAGTAGTAAGTGACTGTGCAGTCAAGGACACAGCACAGACCCCTGACTGGGAAAGAGGGAGGGAGGCGCGCAGGTGCCACGTTCCAGGGCCTACCAGTAGTAAGTGACTGTGCAGGCCGCACACACCCGCTCCGCAGGGGCTTCGCACACCTCACAGCAGAGCCGACGCCCCTTGGGCACCGCCAGTGGGTAGATCACGTTCATGTTGCAGCCGGCGGTGTCGGTCTCTAGGACGGTTGCCGGGCGCGTATAAGCTGAACCCCAGAGTCACGTGACGATCACAGGGCAGCTTCCTTCCTAGTATTTCAAGATCCGAGGGAGAAACGTAGCTCAATTGACAAGTGGTATCTATATGGAGGATTTTTTTTAAAAAAGCACAAACGACAGGAGTCCCCAAAGTTTTAATGGTCAAGTAACTTCACTCCCATGGAGTTCAAGCCCAAGGAGGGCTCTGCTGCGGGAGGTGAGGGTCAAATGTGATCAGTTATTTACCCAGGATAGGAAATTGACTTGAGGGACTGTGATTCCTCCCGATGCCCACACAGCCAAGAATTCTCCTCAGCGCACACCTTCGCTGAGCTCTGGGGCAGAACCACCACGCATTTCCAGACCCGGCGATATCCAGACCTAGCGTCACAACTAAGACAGAGAACCGCCTACTCACTAGCACTGCAGCTCCAGGTCCAGGTAAGGGAAAGGGGCGTGGCGCCGGCGGCCCGGAGCGTGCGCAGGCGCAGCGGCGCTGATGGCGGAAATGGACCTGGTAGCCGAGTTTCCTCAGCCTGCCGGTGCCGCGCGCTGGGCTGAGGTTATGGCTTGCTTTGCGGCCAGGCTGGGCACGCAGGGCCGGCGAGTGGTGTTGGTTACGTCAGGCGGCACCAAAGTCCCACTGGAAGCGCGGCCAGTGCGCTTCCTGGACAACTTCAGCAGCGGGCGGCGCGGCGCAACTTCGGCGGAGGCCTTCCTGGCAGCCGGCTATGGGGTCCTGTTCTTGTACCGCGCTCGCTCCGCCTTTCCCTTTGCCCACCGCTTTCCACCCCAGACCTGGCTGTCGGCACTGCGGCCTTCCGGCCCAGCCCATTCGGGCTTGCTGAGCCTCGAGGCCGAGGAGAATGCACTCCCGGGCTTCGCTGCGGCTTTGCGAAACTACCAGGAGGCTGTGGCTGCCGGTACTTTTCTGGCGGTCGAGTTCACCACTGTGGCGGACTATTTACATTTGTTGCAGGCTGCAGCCCACGCGCTCAATCCGCTAGGTGCGTGCCCTGGTTATACACCGGTTGCTTGGCGACAGAGCCATTACCCCCAGCTATGTATCTCCTTAGTGCTTACCCACAAGTCTCAACGGCTGGGAAGCCCGACTTATAAACGAGCTGATCCCATTTCTCTCCCAGATTTGTTACACCTTTTGCTTCTCTTTCCAGGCTCTTCTGCGATGTTTTACCTGGCTGCGGCCGTGTCAGATTTCTATGTTCCTGTCTCTGAAATGCCTGAACACAAGATCCAGTCATCTGGGGGCCTATTGCAGGTGATGGGGGCTTCACTTACAGAGATCTGATCCCCTATAACCAATCTTGGGTTAATTATCTCTTGATCTGGAGATGGCCTTTCTGCATCTGTATGCTCTGAGCTCTGGGGTTATAGAGATGAGTAACTGTCCAACCTCGTTGACCTCACAGTTAGGGAAGGAGCTGGACACAGACATAATTACAATACAGAGTGATAAATGCTCTAGTGGAGCTACATAAAAAGTGCAGCCAGATGGTGGGATGAGTGAATCTTGGGGAAGTCCTGGAGGAGAGAACTTGGACTGGGGTTTAAAATATGAGCAGAAGGTGTAGCAGACAAAGTAGAGAAGGTCATTCCAGGTGGAGTTCAAGTAAGGAAATGGGCAGTGGGCTGTGAACTGAAGTGCAAAGCAGACTAAAGAGGTAGCTTGCTTGGTAGAAGACTTGTATTCCTTTTTAAGGTGTTTGAATTTTGTCTTTGGAGCCAAGGGACACGTTAGTAGAAGAAAGAGTATTTGAGAACCTTCTGGCATCAGTATAAAAGGTGAAGTAGAGAGAGACTGGAGTGGGTAGACTAGTTGGGGATTATTGTTGTTTAAGAGAGAGAGATGGGTGGCGCCTGTGGCTCAAGGAGTAGGACGCTGGCCCCATATACCAGGGGTGGTGGGTTCAAGCCTGGTCCCGGCCAAAACTGCAAAAAAAAAAAAAAAAAGAGAGAAAGAGATGGAAAGAGTAGTGGTGGTGTTGAGATGAGATGATCTGGCTTCTTGAACCTGAGAGAGTAGTCTTTTATTGAGTGATATAATTTAAATAGGAGAAACTCTGCTTGTAAGACACTTTATAGAATATTTGTTCATTTCTTCAACAAATATTTATTAAGTACCCATTATATGCCAGGTCCTACTGTAGAAACTGGAGATGAAAGCAGTGAAAAGAAACATACCCTGCCCTTCTATCACTTCCATCACTTCCTCTTTAGGGGAGACAGTGAATGAGTCAGATACATACTATGTGTGGTAGTGATAAATGCTCAGGAGAAAAATAAAATATAAATTGGTGATCCCTATCACACTTACTAAACAGCTTTCTTATGGAAAATCCTGACAATAGGTGATTTCACACTTTATAAACTCTGCAATCTTTAGTTTATTTCATATTTTTTATTTCTATCTTGACTAACAAACAACTCATCATTTCCCTTAGAAGGGGTGGGAATAGGATAGTAAGAGTTTTGGTCAAGTGAAAATAAAATCATTTCAGTTCTTTCACTGCTAAGTTGTGTTAAAAGTGACAATTTTAAAATGGAATCTAATAGCCATTTTATCAATGCAAAGAGTATTTTAGGCTGAGGGGTTTAAAACCTTGACTTTGTTCGTTTATTTGACAGTTCAAAAGCTAAAGGAGAATGCTTGAAAAAAATGTAATACTGTTTGTTTGGTTTTTTTTTTGAGACAGAGTTTTACTATGGCACCCACGGTAGAGTGCGACGGCGTCATAGCTCACAGCAACCTCCAACTCTTGGGCTTAAATGATTCTCTTGCCTCAGCCTCCCAATTAGCTGGGATTACAGGTGCCTGCCACAGTGCTGGCTATTTTTGTTGGAGTTGTCATTGCTGTTTAGCTGGCCTGGACTGGGTTTGAACCTGACAGCCTGGGTGTATGTGGCCAGTGCCATAACCACTGTGCTACAGGCACCACCAAAAAATGTAATACTGTTCTTCAGAATTCTCTTATTGGTGGTGAGATGGCAGAGCAGAGCTTATTCAGAAGTCAGGAATTGCCCCAGAATATTTATGAAGACTTGGGGTTAGTCATCATTATGAACTCTACAGAGCCAAGGGATTTTTAAATGAAGCAGTTAATTGAAAAGTTTGACAATGGTAAATCCCATTAAGTTTAAAATTTATTTTCCATAGTTTCCCATGACATTGACCTAGATTTATTAAGCTTTTCTTTTTCCAATACAGATAACAATGAAGATGGTGCCAAAAATGCTTTCTCCTTTGGTTAAAGATTGGGCTCCAAAAGCATTTATAATTTCCTTCAAGTTGGAGACTGACCCCTCCATTGTAATTAATCGTGCTCGGAACGCTTTGGAAGTTTATCAACATCAAGTGGTGGTGGCTAATATCCTTGAGTCACGACAGTCATTTGTGGTTATTGTAACCAAAGACTCAGAAACCAAGTTATTGCTATCAGAAGAAGAAGTAGAAAAAGGCATAGAGATAGAAGAGAAGATAGTGGATAATCTTCGGTCTCGACACACAGCTTTTATATGTGACAAAAACTGAAATAAAGCCCTTGTAGGATCAAATGGTGAGAACTAGAATAAATCCTTTGCTTTCATAAGTACAGAAATAATGAAGGAAAGGGAAAAAGTGATGTGCAGGCAAATAAAATTTGGGATTTGTCTTTTAATGACCAAGACACCTGACACACTCACCTGAATGTCATCTTGATTTTGAAATTGAACCTAAAGCTTTTTCTCACCTTTAACAAAAGAACTTAATGGGAATTATATATTCCTCAAAATCTATGTGGGGGCCTGAATATCAGCCTTCTTCATACTATGAAAAGAGGATTATGGATGCATGAGTGATCATGCTTGGAAGATCAAATATTTGTTGAGTGCCTACTATGTGCCAGGTCCTATGCTGAGCTGTGAGGATTAATATGATGAACAAATATGTCTTGTTTGGGAAATGGATGTATAAAAAAGTACAATAAAGTGTGTGACCAAAAGCTGATACAATGGAAAGGATTTTTTTTTTTTTTTTGAAATTTACCAAAGACAGGAGTGGGAGAAAAGGGTATCTCCCTGAAGATAGACTATAGAAAGGTGAGTTTCCTACTACATTTTCTTTTTGCTTGTTTTTCTAGATTCACTCCACATTTGACTAACAGTTTATCTTTCACATATTTTAGGACTGCTCTTCAGGTGAACTTAACACAGCCTTCCATCTGGGACCAGGCAGGGGACATTTTGGTGACCTCTGTCCTGAGGAAGGCATTACAGTGTGGAGAGAGTATGGGATTTAGAATCAGGTTAGCACCTATTAGCTTTATACATTTAGGTATGTGACTTAATCTCAGTTTCCTCATCTGTAAAACTAGGGGTAATGAGTCTCTTTGCAAATTAATGCAATTCATTGTGGGGATTAAATAAAACAGCAAACATAAACATCAGTCTGGTTGCTGGCATGTAATTCACACTCAGTAGATGTTTGCAATTTTTTTTTTTTTTTTTTTTTTT